AGATTAATAAGAAAAAAGGTTTCTAAGATACAGTGTCTAGCCTCAACCTTCAAGTCCAAAGACCTTGATTCTCTCGTTGCAGACTCTTGTTGCAACTTAAGGTCAAGTTTCTCAGACAACAAGGTCCTCCTCCGACACGTGATCAAAGAGGGATTTTTTTTTTCTCTTTTTTGTGGCTTTAGTGTGAACGAAGGTCGGAAGATAAGGCTGTGGGGGGCCTGTTCAAAGGTCGGGGGGGGGGATACCTACGTCATCAAGCACGCTAAGGTCAGGTTCCGAGCGTGGAAAGGTCGTGGGGTCACGAGAGATTCTTTAAATTTATACGAAATTCCCTTAATTAACACAGGTAAAAGAAAAAGAAAGGGAAGGTAAAAAACAACAAACTATTCTTTACTTATTGTTTAGTTAAACAAGAAAGGAAGAAAAAGAAAATTGTTTTTTTTTAAGAAAGAAAGACTTCCTTAAAGAAAAAGAAAGAAAAGCTATTTCTTAGAGAGAAAGAAAGAAAAAACTATATCATTCACATAGAAAGAAAGATAAAAACTATTTCTAAATTATTCCTTATATAAAACGAAAGAAAGGAAAAGAACAAAGAAGAAAAAAAACCCGCACGCCTCGAAAGCCCGAGGTCGAACTCCGGTCTCCCTCCAGCACACGGGGATGGCGAGGATGACCTCATCCCGAGCGCTGGTGACCTTAGCGCTCCTGACGGTGACCTTTGGAGGAGGAGCCCAGGCCTTTCCCTGGAGGGAGCCGAGGCAGACGTCCTTCTTCAGCGGCCTCGTCAACGCCCTCCTCAGGTCGTCGGCGGACTTCCAGAGCATCGCCTCCACGGTGAGCTTGGGCTTTTTGTTATTGTTGTTATTGTTATGATCTTCATTGTTGTTATTATCAATTTTGTTATTTTTATAGTTATTGTCATTAATTTTATTATCGTTGTTTATTTATTTTTATTCTATTTTGTTTTATTTTTAGTGTTGTTATTACTGTTGATATTATTATCATCATTATTATCATTTTCTTTGTTTATTTGTTCTTATTTATAAATTTCTTTTTAATTATTCGTTGTTTATATAATGAAATTGTCTTGTATCCACTCAATGTCTTTTCCCTTTTCGCTTTGTTGCATTTTTTCTATACAAATTTCTTTACATTTTCCTTTCATCCGTTGTCATCGTCTAGAATAAGGTGTTCTTGTCTTTTTCACATTTCTTTGTTCATTCATTTCGTTATTGATGTTGCTCAGTTAGTCAGACCTTTTTCGCTAGAATTTATGCTTAGGCCGATGCAAATAGGAAAAATGTGAGGATGATTTTTTTATTATATCAAAAGTTATATACAGTAAAAGATTATGATGTACCAGAGAGAAGAGAGAGAGAGAGAGAGAGAGAGAGAGAGAGAGAGAGAGAGAGAGAGAGAGAAGAGAGAGAAATATTAGTGAGGAGGATGAAACAGAAGAAGGAGAGAGAGAGAGAGAGAGAGAGAGAGAGAGAAAATATAGTGAGGCAAAGGATGAACAGAAAGAGCAGAGAGAGATAGAAGAGAGAGAAGAGAAGAGAGAGAGAGAAGAGAGAGAGAGAGAGAGAGAGAAGAGAGAGAGAGAGAGAATATAGTGAGCAATGGATGAAAAACAGAAAGAGAGAGAGAGGAAGAGAGAGAGAGAGACAGAGAGAGAGAGAGAGAGAGAAGAGAGAGAAGAGAATATAGTGAAGCATGGATGAAACAGAATGAGAGAGAGAGAGAGAGAGAGAGAGAGAGAGAGAGAGAGAGAGAGAGAGAGAGAGAGAGAGAGAGAGAGAGAGAGAATATAGTGAGCATGGATGAACAGGATATCTTTTTTACCTTCATTTCAATGTGCGAACTATTTTTAGGCATGCGTTGTTGCGTCCGCGGGTGAAAGGGCCGGGGCATGGCCTTCAGGCACCGGGGAAGTGACTGCTGAGTCTAATAGGATAGACTTCAATATTCTTAGCAATTCAAAAACATATACATATACATGTAATTGTATATGTGTATATATAATATATATTATATATATATATATATATATATATATATATATATATATATATATATGTGTGTGGTGTGTGTGTGTGTGTGTGGGTGTGTGTGTGTGTGTGTGTGTGTGGTGTGTGTTTAGTGTGTACATTACATAGATACATGAATAGATCTCGAAATCTGCAACTACACCCCAAAAACCAGAGAGAGAGAGAGAGAGAGAGAGAGAAGAGAGAGAGAGAGAGAGAGAGAGAGAGAGAGAGAGAGAGAGAGAGAGAGAGAGAAGAGAGAGAGAGAGAGAAGAGAGAAAAGGGAGAGAAAGGGAGAGAAAGCGAATGCAAGAATGAGAGTGAGAGTGAGACAGTGGGTGAGTGAGAGCGAGAGAAAGAGATAGGAAGATAGATAGAAAGAGAGAGAGAGAGAGAGAGAGAGAGAGAGAGAGAGAGAGAGAGAGACGAGAAGAGAGAGAGAGAGAGAGAGAGAGAGAGAGAGAGAGAGAGAGAGAGAGCGATAAAAGATAAAACCATCTGAAGATAATCTTGAATAGACATAATAGATAAATAAATAAATAAAAATAACCAAGAAAATAACAATCTCGCACCCACACGCCCCTCCTCGAAGGCACTGGACCGTGAAGCAGACGTGGGCAGGACGGGGGGGGGGATGGGAGGGGCTGACAGGAAATTCCCGGAGGACTTTCTTTCCGCGCCTTCGGGTTGGGGGCGTCGCAGGGGCTGGTCGTTGCTGTGGTCGTTGTTTGTGTTGCGGTTATTGTTGTTGCTGTAATTGCTGTTGTTGTACTTGTTGCTATTGTAGCTGTGGTTGCAGTTGTTGTTTCTGCTGTTGTTTTTGTTATGGTTGTCTTTGTGTTTTTTGTGGTTGTCAATGTTTCTGTGACACTGTTGCTGTTTCCTGCTGTTGTTGCTTTTGTTATTATTACTGTTATCGTGGTTGTTATTTTGGTTATTGTTTTATATGTTAGAAGTAATCTGTTTCCTTTGCATATTTGATGGTCTTGTAATGATAGTGGTAATGATAATGAAAATTGTAATAAAAAGATTATAAAAGTAGTGGTAACAGTGATGATATCAATAATCATGATGACGATGATAATTATTCCATTACTACTAGTAGTAATAATGATAATGATAATATAACGATGATAGTGGTATTGATAATGATGATGGTTATTATAATGCTACGACTACTAATGATAGGAATGACAGAAATGGTAATAATAACATTAATAATGATAATTATGATAACGATAATAATGATAATTAGAACCATAATTTTAAATATTATCATCATGTTAATACTATCCATTTTACAAACATTACCATTATTATGCACGCAGACAGACACATTCAGGTACTCACACACACACACACTCCCTAGAACATCTGCACTTCCCCCTTTCTTCCCCCTCTTCACCCTCTCTTCACCCCTCTCTCCCTCCCCCTCTCTCACCTCCTCCCTCCCCTCTCACCCTCCCTCCCCTCTGCTCACCTCTCACACTCTTCACCTCTCTCTCCCACCCTCTCACACCCTCACCCTCTCTCCTCTCCCACCCTCTCGCCGCCCTCTCTCCCCTCCCTCCCTCCCCTCCCTCCGCACCCTTCCACCCTTCCCTCCTCCCAGTCTTCGCGTCCTTGCTGGCGATAAGGAAAGCCCGTATCTGTTCAGTCGGGAGATAAAGCCACTGATATATTGTTTACCTCTTCCTTTAGATTATGTATTTACAAAAAAAACAAGTAAACAAAACAAGGTCAGTGAGAGTGATTAAGGGGGGGGGGGAGGGTGACGCTTATGACGTAAAGAGTTTACGTAAAAGCAGGAGGCAGATTATTACGCAAATTACGCAAGGTACATGAATCTTCCCGAAATGCCTTGCAGTGTTGTCGTTTGGCGGCGGCTGGCTTTGCGGCGGGAGAGTCCAAGAGCTGATGTTGATTTTTTCACGGTTGTTTTTAAAATTATGTAATTATGATAATAGTTCTTTCTCTCTCTCTCTATCTATCTCTATCTCTCTTTTCTTTTCTCTTCTCTTCTCTACCTCTCTCTCTCTCTCTCTCTCTCTCTTCTCTCCCCTTCCTCTCTTTTCTCTTCTCTTCTCTCCTTCTCCTCTCCTCTCTCTCTCTCTCTCTCTCTCTCTCTCTCTCTCTCTCTCTCTCTCTCTCTCTCTCTTCACACACAACACACACACACACACACACACACACACACACACACACACACACACACACACACACACCACACACACACACACACACACACACACTCTCCCTTCCTCCCTCCTCTCACCCTCTCTCTCTAACAGTTTCTCCCCCTCCCTCCTCTTCCATCCCTCAATCTTACCCTCAACGCAGGCCTCCCCCCCCCCCCCGCTTCGCCAAATAGGAGTTAATACCATAGTCAGGCTGGCGAGGCCCCCAATATGCTGATCTGCCACGCATTATGCTCCACTTAAGAATGGGCAACCCTTAACTCCCTCCCTTAACAGCTATCCTTAACCACTGCCTTTAACTGCTATCCTTAACCGTTGCTCTTAACTGCAACCCTTAAATCCTACCCTTAACTCCGAAACTCGTCTCCTTAACTCCTGCCCTGCCCTGCTACCCTTAACTTACAAACTCCTATTCCTGAAGTCCTACCTTCAACTCCTACCCTTCAGCTTACCCTTCAGTATAATCCTCAGTTTCAACTTGTGGTGATGATGGTGTTGATGATGATGGTGATGACCATAATGATGATAATGAGGATGAGGTTGATGATGTTGATGGTGATGATGATGACGATAATGATGATGATGGTGATGTTAATGGTGATGATGTTAATGATGATGATGGTAGAATATCAAGATTCAAATCTATATAATCCTGATATCAAACCCTCCGCTGCCATTTCGGTTGCAATTAATCAGTAACTTACCACAATTTAGAGATTAAAATGGATTTGCTTTCTAAGTCTAATTTTCTAAGTATGCGTCTAAGTTTTTATAATTTGTAATCCCGCTTCTAATTTCTAAATGAAACTTGACTCTCTCTCTCTCTCTCTCTCTCTCTCTCTCTCTCTTCTCTCTTTCTTTCTTTCTTTCTTTCTTTCTTTCTTTCTCTCTCTCTCTCTCTCTCTCTCTCTCTCTCTCTCTCTCTCTCTCTCTCTCTCTCTCTCTCTCTCTCTCTCTCTCTCTAATTCTAGATGCAGTCGAGGTCGAATTCCAAGTGTTGCTTCCATTTCTAAATCCAATCGAATTCGGAAAAGAAATTCTTGTTTTTCAGAACATGATTGTTATTTTGATATGGTTATAAAGGTACAGATTTTAACAAGGTGAAGACTTTGGTAAGTCTATTTTGGCAGATAGATCGCCTTCTGATATCAGTATAGTTAAGAAAAACAATGTATGGTTTGACATCTTTTTCTAGCCTTTTTGCAATTTGTTCAGTAAATAAATTGTTAAAGTCAAATCTTTATGCCTGCCCCCCCCCCCCCTCACTCTCAAAGAAATCTACATAATCTCGAAAAGAAAATAACAGAACATTATGACACACACACACAAAAAAAAAGATAAAGCATCAGCAGAAAAACACATAACGATAAGGAACTAAACAACAACAACAAAAACAGCAGCAACACGCGAGCAACGTGCTCTGCGTGTGGCAACCGCACGAACGCCATCACGATGTCTCCGTATCGCTGTATCAAGGCCGGTCGTTACTGAGAGTAGGCCTTTTTACACACCTGGTAATTTTAGGACGGCTTCGTTTTTTATGATTTTATCGGAATATTATGATTTGATTAGAGGATTGCAATAAAATACTTATATCTATCTTTTATATATATATATATATATATATATATATGTATATATGTATATATGTATACATATTTATGTATGTATATGCATATATATGCAAATGTATATGTATATATATGCATATATTTAAGTACATATATGTACATATACATACATATACATACATACATTTACATATACATACATATATTTACATATACATATTCATATATATATATATATATATATACATATACATATATACACATATATACATATATATTTACATATATATATACATATACACACACACACACACACACACACACACACACACACACATATATATATATATATATATATATATATATTATAATATATATATTACATACATACATACATACATACATACATACATACACATAGATAGATAGAAATGGATAGATAGAAATAGAGCTGAATAGAGATAAATAGATATAGACAGACAGATAGATAGAGATAATATATAGGTAGATAGAGGTAAATAGAAAGGGAGAGAAAGAAAGAAACAAGTAAAAAGAAAATGAGACCCAAAATGAGAGCGAGAGAACGTAAAAAAACGTTCCCGCGCCAAATACATACGCACTACGGCATTCCACGCGACCGAGTACTTCGTCAACAACTGCCTCCTTGGTCGGCCGATAACGCCGTTCGTGCCGAGAGTTCGTTCGGTGCGGACGAACCCGCTTTCGAGGCAGGAGGGAGGCTGGGGGAAGGGGAAGGGAGGGGAGGGGAAGGGGAAGGGGAAGGGAAAAGGGAAGGGGAGGGAGGGGAAGGGGAGGGAAGGGAGAAAGAGGTAAGGGGAAGGAGGGAGGGAAGGGAAGGCGAGGGAAGGGAAGAAATGAGGTAAGGGAAGGGGAGGGAAGGGAGAGGAAGAAAAGAGGTAAGGGGGAGGGGAGAGAGGGGAGGGGGCGGGTAGCTAAAGAGGTTGTTGGGAAAAGAGGAGGGAGGGAGAGAGGTGGAGAAGAGGAACGGGAAGGAAAGAGAGGGGAAGAGGAAAGGGAAGATAGAGAGAGATGGGATAGAGAAGAGGAAGGAAAGAGATGGAGGAAGAGGAATGGGAAGGAGAGAGGTGGTGGGAGGAAGGGGAAGAGAGAGGCAAAGAAAGGAGGGGAGACGGATAGAGATGAGGGATGGGATAGGAGAGGAGGTAGAGGTGGCGAAGGAAAGGAATTGGAGGGAGAGAGGAGAGGAGGAAGGAGGGGGGGGATGACGACATTCATACATCCGGCAACTTGTATAGGCAAATATGTCGAAATCTATTAAGAAATATTTTTTTACGTGCGTGGGGAAAGTGTGAGAACCTATTGGTTATTGTTGTCACGTGCCAGGGAGCCTGATTTCACCCATACAGTGTTGCTGATGGGCAAACACCCAAATATACACACGCATACATACTTACAGACATATACTGTATACTTACACAGACACACAAACGCACACACACACAAACACGTACACACGTAGAATGCCTTCACTCCCTCCCCCTCCCCCTCCCTCTCCCTCCCGTAGCATTTTTACCGTGAGTCGCAGTCTACAGCTTAGGCTTACCAATGTGTGCGTCTTCAGGACTTGTTTCAAAGTGGTTTTACTGTATCTGTTATATCTCCGCCCCCATCTCTCTCTCCCTCTCTATCTATCTATCTATCCATCTATTTCTCTCTTCTCTCTCTTTCTCTCTGTCTCTGTCTCTCTCTCTCTCTCTCTCTCTCTCTCTCTCTCTCTCTCTCTCTCTCTCTCTCTCTCTCTCTCTCTCTCTCTCTCTCTCTCTCTCTCTCTCTCTCTCTCTCTTTCTCTTTCTCTTTCTTTCTATAATATATATACATATATATATATATATATATATATATATATATATACATATATACATATACATATACATATACATACACATACATACGTACATATATATATATATATATATATATATATATATATATATATATATATATATACATATACCACTCTGTCTGTCTGTCTCTCTCTCTCTCTCTATGTATATATATATATATATATATATATATATATATATATTATATATATATTTATATATATATATATATATATATATACATATTGTGTATGTATATATGTATAAATGTATGTATACATGCATGTATGTATATACACATAGGCACACATTTTTCCTCTACGAGTGTGTCTCCCTTTCTCTCTTCGCTACTCGGCTAATTTCTCTCAGCTTGCCAACTTTTCCCCTCCGAAGACCACGCAAGCTTCCTCTTAACGAAAGATCAGCGAGACCAACCAAGCCACAAGCAAGCGCGGTCGCTTACGGTGATCCCGAGGGCGAAGCGTGTGCGAGCCGCGTGTCGAGGCCCAAGGAATTTTCCCGCGAGGGTTTGGGGAGCCTCTTCGCATCGCGGGCTCGCCCGTTTTTTTCTGCAGCTGATTAGAATCGTTATGTAATTCCTCCGCGCGTACTAAGGCATGCACACGGATAGGCGCACACGGACACACACATGTATGTTAATTAATCAATCATTCAAACAACAAAATATGTGTGTGTATATATATATATATATATATATATATATATATATATATATATATATATATATTCATATACATATACGTACACTCATATATATACATGCATACATATGCCTATACACACTTACACACACATTTCAAATCGTGAAATAACCCTATAATGACAGTTTATCTCCAATTAAGCAAGTGTTTGTATGATTCATATCACTGGAATGAGTCAACTATCTGTACTACGACCGACTTCAAAATATATATACTTTAAAAACTGTATAATGTATAAGCAATATTTATTGGTGTATTTCTCAGAATTATTTAATTATGAGTATTATCTCAAACCAAAAGTTAATCCACTGCATTTGCATAAATTTTCCCTTGTTTATAGTACAAATATCATCATCATTATCATTGACATATTTATTATCATTATCATTGTCATTATTAATATTATTTTTGGTACTATGGTTGTTATTATTATTACTATTATTGTTATTATTATTGTTGTTGTTATTATAATATTATTATTATTATAATAATAATTATTATTATTATTACTATTAATGTTATTGTCACTATCGTTATTGTTTCCAGTAATATCATCATATAATAATGGTAATAATAATAATAATTATTGTTATCATTATTATTGTTGTTAGTACTATTATTATTGTTATCAATATCATCACTAATATTATCGTTATTCCCCTCATCATCATCATCACCACCATAATCATCATCATCCCCATTATTATTACCCGTAAAACACCCTCACAATCACACCTTTCCCTTTCCTCTGCTGAATCCCACGCACCGCCTTCCAGGCTGACCTGTGTCGCATGGCCGGCTACGAGGTCGAGGAGCACAGGGTCGTGACCGAGGACGGCTATGTCCTCACCGTTCACCACGTGCCGCCCTTCGCCAACCCGCGGCGGAAAAGCGGGTACGTGAATATGATTATGACTGGATATGATGCAAGGGATATGAATGTATGTGTATGCTCATTCATGGTGTTGTGTGTAGGGCTGTATGTGGGAAGGCAAAGAGATTCGTATCCACGGACAGAAACAAACTAAAGGTGAATCTTGTTAGGATTGCAGTAGGCGTAAATATAAATATTCACACACACAGACGCATGCACGAAAATGCGCGCGCACACACACACACACACACACACACACACACACACACACACACACACACACACCACACACCACACACACACACACACACACACACACACACACACATACAAACAAACACGCATAATACAAACTTATATAAAACGAATTCAAAAAAATAAGATATAATGAAAAAATATAAGAAAGTTTAAACAATTATGCGTAAACGTGATAAAAGATATAATGAAAATATAACAAGTATTGATAAAATAATATCACTAGATTTTCTACTTATAAATGGTCATAGATAGCAGCACAAGGAAATAGAGAGATGAAATTACTCATCTTTCTTTCCTCGCGATCTTGGTGCCTCATTTCCTCATGTTATCTTATAAGGGAAATGCAATAACATATGTACGTATATGTATTATGTATATTACCACTCCTTGTATAGAAAATAAGATTATTCTGATTCTGCTATCAAATAGTCTTAATCATACAAATGCATCTATTTTCAAACATTTTATTATCATGTCTATCATTA